CCGCGACGGGCCCCGCCCCGCGACAGCCCCCGCCCCGCGACAGGCCACGCCCCGCGACAGGCCACGCCCCAGAGCCATGGGAGCAGCCCCGCCCCGCGACAGGCCCCGCCCCAGAGCCATGGGAGCAGCCCCGCCCCCGCGACAGGCCCCGCCCCCGCGACAGGCCCCGCCCCCCGCGACAGGCCCCGCCCCCAGAGCAGAGGTAGCAGCCCCGCCCTGGGCCAGGCCCCGCCCCCGGGCACGCCCACCATGGCTGCACCCGTTGATTGACGGACAGCTGCCTCGGGGGCGGGACAGCGGGCGCGCTCTCAGATGAGTGACATCGAGTGCAGCCAATCAAAGCCCACGATCGCTCTCCGGTGTTCCCTCCCACCGCGGAGATCCCCGCGCGTCACGTGGAGCGGGAAATGGGCAGCGTGTATGCAAATATATACAAAGCATATGCTAATGAGGGTCCGCCAGCAGCGCGGGGTGACAGCCGGGGAGATGGGGCGGGGTCCGGGAGGGGACACGAGGGTGGGGACACGGGCAGGATACTGGGGGACAAGGAGGGGGGAGCCGGGGGGGCCACAGGAGGAGGACGGGCACGGAGGGTCACGAGAGGGGTGACACGAGGGGAGGGGGTCCCGTGGGGACACGAGAGGGGTGACACGAAGGGAGGGGGACACGGGGGCCCGGCCCACGCCCGAGGCGTGGCGGTCCCGGGGCGGTCCCGGCCGGTCTCGCCCCACGCCCACGCCCGGCCCCACGTGCGGAAGCTCCGGGCCAGAAGCGGCGGCCCCGGGACCGGCCCCGAGCGCAGGTGGGAGCCGGGGCCGCTCCCGGTGGGCGCGGGGAGTCCGCGGGTGGGTCCCGTGGGATGGGACCCCGTGGGGTGGGTGCCGTGGGGAGGGTCCCGTGGAGAGGGTCCCGTGGAGAGGGTCCCGTGGGGAGGGTCCCGTGGGGAGGGGCCGCGGGAGTGGGTGCCGTGGCGGGGCGATGCTGAGACGACCGGGAAGAGCCTCGGGGACACGCGGGGACAGTGCCCGGTCCGTGAGTGGGGACGGCAGCCCGGGACACCCGCGGCTGCCCCGGACACGCCGTGGGCCGAGGATGGGCCCGTCCGTGCGACACTCGAGGGCGCTGCCCCGCGATGGGGGGGACGGGCGGGGACACACTCGAGGAGAGCGGGGGTGTCTCCCCTCGCCCGGCTTCTGTGACTGCACAGGGACCACGGTCGGGACTTCCCGTGTCCCCCATGTGCCCTCCGTGTCCCCCATGTGCCCTCCGTGTCCCACATCCCCGTGTTCTGCCCTGTCTCTGTGTCCCCCGTCCCCCTCATGCTGTGGCCATCTCCTCCCCATCCCCTCTCCCCGTCTCTTCACGTCACCCCTGTGTTCCTCCTCCCTTCTCCATGTACCCTGTCCTTCCACGTCCTCGTGTCCTCACTGTGTCCCCCCATGTCGCTACATGTGTCCCCATCCCTCGTGTGTCCCCTGTCCCCTGTTCCATGTCCCCGCCGTCCTCCCCACATGCCGCATTCCCCGTGTCCCACTCTCGCCCCTGTCCCTCGGGTCCCTCGGGTCCCCTCCCCTTTTCTGTCCCTGAAGCCACCGCAGCTTCTGCTTTCGGGGTGTGGGTGACGCCCCCCAACACCCACGGGGGAGACGGAGCTCGGGGGGGCCTCCCCCACCCTCCTGGCCCTGAAAGCGGAACCGGGGCCCCGCACGGTCCCTCTGGGGGGCCCCGGTTCCTCTTTCCGGGCCGAGGGCGGCCCGCGGGGTCACCGGGTGCCCGCTGGTGTCCCCAGGCCATGGACCCCCCCCGGCGGGTGCGCCTCAAGCCCTGGCTGGTGGCCCAGGTCAGCAGCCGCCGCTTCCCGGGGCTCCACTGGCTCGACCCCGAGCGCCGCCGCTTCGTCATCCCCTGGGGACACGCCACCAGGAACCCCCCGGGACCCCAGGACCACGACACCATCTTCAAGGTGACACCGGGGGACGCGGGGTGGGGGTGACGGTGGGGACGTGGCATGGGGACAGTGCGGACACGGGGGACACGGGATGGGGGTGATGTGTGAGAGGGTGACAAGGGGGACACGGCGTGGGGACAGTGGGGATATGGGGGACAAGGGACAGGAGTGACAGGGTGATGGTGACGAGGGACACAGGGTGGGGGTGACGAGGATGATGGGGGAACACGGGACGGGTGGCGGTGGGGTGGCGAGGCGGAGCTGGGACGTGGGGATGGTGGATGGAGGGACGCGCAGGCTGGGGGTGCCGGGCGCTGAGCCCCCCCCAGGCGTGGGCGCAGGAGACGGGCCGGTTCCGGGCCGGGGACCCGCCGGACCCCCCGCGCTGGAAGGCCACCCTGCGCTGCGCCCTCAACAAGAGCCGCGAGTTCCGGCTGCTGCTGGACGGGCCCCGCGGGTCCCCGGCCCGGCCCTTCCGCGTCTACGAGCTCTGCGAGGAGCCCCCCGGGGCCGCAGGTACGGGGGGGCTTTGGGGAGGGCCCCAAGTGCCAGCACCTCACAAGGACCTGACGTCCCACGAGTCCCCCACTCCCACAAAGCCCCAGCACCCCGGGAGGTCTCAGCCCCCCAGCAGCCCCCCAAACCCCACAAAGATCCAGTGGCCCCAGAGACCTGGCCCCACACAAGGGGCCCACCCCATGGGAAGCCTCAATGCCCCTTGAGTCCCCAGTACCCCTCAATATCCACCCCAGCACCCCCAGTTCCCTCTGCCCCTCTCTCCCTTGCAGATGGGGGGGACGAGGATGACAATGGCTGCAGCGGGGAGGAAGATGTCAGCCAGGTATCTGGGGGGGCTCGGGGTGGGGGATCCCCAAACCGGGGACACCTCAGGGGGCTGGGGGGCCCCTGTAACGCCCACTCTGCCCTGCAGCTCAACATGACATCCCTGAGCATCGATGGTGAGTGGGGGGCGTCGGGTGGGTCGGGGTGCCAGGGGGGTTGGGCTGCACCCTCTGACCCCCCTCTCTGCTGCAGACACGCAGCACGGGGGGGACCTGCTGCCCCCCTACTCCTGGGCCAAGGAGGAGCCCCCCCCCTTTGCCAGCTGCTGCCCCCCGGGGGGCCCCTTCGGGCCTCCCCCCCCGGCGCTGCTCCAGGGGGAGGCGGGGGGCACCCGCGGGGTCCCTGAGCTGCTCCCCGGCCCCCTCGCTGAGACGGGGCCCCCCCTGGGCCCCCCGGGACCCTCGTCCACCTGCCCGGTGGCACCGACAGAGCAGCTGATCCCAGACCTGCTCGTCAGCCCCCACATGCTGCCACGTGAGGAGTGGGGGGCTGGGGGTCCGTGGGGGGCTGGGTGGGGCGGTCACGGGTGCGGCCGGAAGGATTGGGGTGACCGTGGGGTGGTGGGACAGAGGTGGCCATGGATGTGGGGTAGCCGTGGGTCGGATGGGGTGGCCATGGGGTGGTGGGACAGAGGTGGCCATGGATGTGGGGTAGCCGTGGGTCGGATGGGGTGGCCATGGGGTGGTGGGACAGAGGTGGCCATGGATGTGGGGTAGCCGTGGGTCGGATGGGGTGGCCATGGGGTGGTGGGACAGAGGTGGCCATGGATGTGGGGTAGCCGTGGGACGGATGGGATGGCCGCGGGGTGACCGTGGGGTGGCTGGATTGGGGTGACTGTGGACACAGAGTGGCTGTGGGATGGATGAGGGTGGCCAGGGGGTGGGGGGGCTTGGCCAGCTGCCCTGGAGTGGCCCTGGGCTGCTCCCTGGCCCCGCTGACCCTGCGGCCCTCCGGCAGTGACTGACCTGGAGCTGAAGTTCCAGTACCGGGGCCGCCAGGTCTGTGCCCTGACCGTCAGCAACCCCCACGGCTGCCGGCTGTTCCACAGCAGCCTGGAGCCCACGCGGGAGCAGGAGGAGCTCTTCGGGCCCCTGACGCTGGAGCAGGTGCCCTTCCCTGCTCCCGACGCCATTCCCAACGAGAAGCAGCGCTTCTACACCCACCAGCTGCTGGACGTGCTGGACCGAGGGCTCATCCTGGAGCTCCAGGGCCAGGATCTCTTCGCCCTCCGGCTCTGCCAGTGCAAGGTCTTCTGGACGGGGCCCTGTGCCGCTCCCCGGCCCGGCCCCAACCCCATCCAGAGGGAGAGAAGGACCAAGCTCTTCAGCCTCGAGGGCTTCCTCAACGGTCAGAGGGGAAGGGGGGGTGGCCCTGTGTCCCTTGAGGGCGATGGATTGGGACGGAGAGGCCAGCTGGGGTGGGGGGACACCGGACACATGGGCACTTGGTGGCACCAGGGGGACGAAGGCAGGATGGAGACATCAGCTGGAACGGTGGGGACACCGGGTGGCACATGGGAACTTGGAGGAATGGGGGGCCGGAGCTGGGATGGGGGTCACCAGGGGTTGCCCTCAGTTGTCGTGGGTGGGGCGGTGGCGGCCCAGGCAGGCGCGAGGCCCCGTCCTGTCCCTCACCTCGGCCTTGGGCCCCGCAGGCCTCATCCAGTTCCAGAAGGGGCAGACCCCCACCCCGCCCCCCTTTGAGATCTTCCTCTGCTTCGGCGAGGAGTGGCCGGACCGGAAGCCCAAGGAGAAGAAGCTGATCACGGTGCAGGTGAGGGGCCGGGCCCCGCGGCGGTCCCGGGGCGCTCGGGGGTCCCTGCCCGCGGTGACGGCCGTGGCTCCCGCAGGTGGTGCCGGTGGCGGCGCGGCTGCTGCTGGAGATGTTCTCCGGGGAGCTGTCCTGGTCGGCCGACAGCATCCCGCTGCACATCTCGCACCCCGACCTCAAGGACAGGATGGTGGAGCAGTTCAAGGAGCTGCACCAGCTCTGGCAGAGCCACCAGCGGCTGCCGCCGGCGCAGCCCCTGCCCGGCCCCTCCGCAGGGCCCTGGGCGCTGCCAGCCGGGCCCCTGCCCCACTGAGGGGACACGGTGACACCTGTGACACTGCCACCAGGGCCCCTGTCCCACTGAGGGGACACGGTGACACCTGTGACACTGCCACCAGGGCCCTGTCCCACTGAGGGGACACGGTGACACCTGTGACACTGCCACCGGGGCCCTGTCCCACTGAGGGGACACGGTGACACCTGAGCCCCTGCCCCACTGAGGGGACACGGTGACACCTGAGCCCCTGTCCCACTGAGGGGACACGGTGACACCTGAGTCCCTGTCCCACTGAGGGGACACGGTGACACCTGAGACACTGCCACCGGGGCCCTGCCCCACTGAGGGGACACGGTGACACCTGAGTCCCTGTCCCACTGAGGGGACACGGTGACACCCGTGGCACTGCCCCACTGAGGGGACACGGTGACACCCGTGACACTGCCAGCCAGGGTGAGTCACCCCCTGGCCCCGTCCCCATCCCTGTCCCTGTCCCCAGGCCCGTGTCCCCGTGAGCCACAGCCCGGGGTGCCCTGCAGGGGACGGGGATGTGCCCTCGGGCGGGGGCAGCGGAGAAGCCGGAGCCGGAGCCCCCTGGAGCCCCCAGGGCCGGGGGCACAAAGCAGCCTCAGCCCTGAGAAGAACCAAAGGGACCTTGGGAGGTTTTAATTTATTTTTTCAGTTTTTTGATGTTTTTTATTGTCTCGAGATGGCTACACACCCCCGGAGGGAACCGCATGCGCCCGCCCGCCCTGCCCGCACTCGAGCCACCGCCTCCTACCCCAAATCAAACCAAAGAAAACCCCAAAAAAGGGAAAAAAAAAAAAGAAAAAAACCAAACAAGAAAACAAACTGAAAAAGCAGAAGAAAATAAAATATAAATCTCTATTTGCAGAGTCCGTCCCGCCTGTGTCGTCTCTGGGAGTCAGCACCAGGCAGGCCACGGTGGGCTCAGGGGGGCGGCGCCCCAGGACCCCCAGCCTGACCCCCCATCTTCCTAAACAATTTCTACTGTTTGTTTTTCGTTTGTTTCCTTTCCTTCTTTTTTGTCTCCGTTTCACAGAAAGTTTTTCTACTTCTTTTTCTGCCGGGCGAATCCGAGTGGATGCGCCTGGCTCCGGTGCCTGGTGGGGTTGCAGTTGGGTTGGGGGCTGTTCCCGGGGGTGTTCCCGGGGGTGTTCCCGGGGGTGTTCCCGGGGGTGTTCCCGGGGGCTGTTGGCCGAGCTCCGGGCCGTGAGGCCGCCGGGATCCCCGAGCCGTCCTCCCGCGGCTCCGGACTCCGGGATGCGCTGGAGCGGGCGAGAGCCCTCGGCTGATTGTGGGACACATTCTTGGGTTGCTGTTTCCTGTCTTCTCCTTCAAGACATTCCTGGCAGGAGCAGGGGAGCCTCAGCCCTCTGTCCCCGTGTCCCGGGGGGCCGCAGGGCCGCGGGGCCGGGCCTTACCTGGGAGACAGGAGCCGCGTGGAGCCGGAGCTATCGGAACAGGCGGGTGAAGTCCCTCAGAGCCCAGCACACTTGTTTACATTCCTCAGCACTGCAAGACAAGGGGCAACATCAGGGCTGACCCCGAGGGGACGTCTGGGAGCCGGGGAAGGTGTCCTGCCGAGGGATGGGAGCTGGGAGGTGCTGGGGGACACCAAGGGACAATCAGGGCAGAAGGAGGCCAGGACCGTCCCTGGAGGAGAGCCGTGTGCCACGGCTGGCTGGGAGGAAGGAGCTGCCCCCGGCACTCTGGGACGGACGGAGCCGATGTTCCCGGAGCAGCCGGGAAGGGACGGGCCGGGCAGGGCCTGGCTGCTGGAGCCAGTGACTCACAGGGATGAGGAGGTGGCTCGGGAAGGGCTGGAGGCTCCGCAGGGATCGGGCCAGGCAGAAAAACCCGTTGGGTGACACCAAAGGCGCCGTGTGACCCCCGTGGCTCGGTGTGACCCCCATGGCTCGGTGTGACCCCCAGGGCTCCCTGTGACCCCCAGGGCTCGGTGTGGCCCCCAGGGCTCCCTGTGACCCCCAGGGCTCGGTGTGACCCCCAGGGCTCCCTGTGACCCCCAGGGCTCCCTGTGACCCCCAGGGCTCCCTGTGACACCCCCAGGGCTCGGTGTGACCCCCAGGGCTCGGTGTGGCCCCCAGGGCTCCCTGTGACCCCCAGGGCTCCCTGTGACCCCCAGGGCTCGGTGTGACCCCCAGGGCTCCCTGTGACCCCCAGGGCTCGGTGTGACCCCCAGGGCTCCCTGTGGCCCCCAGGGCTCGGTGTGCTGGCCCAGCCCAGCAGGATGAACAGCACGGGCAGCACTGGGGCTGCTGGGGCCAGCCTGCAGCAGGGAGCTGGTGCCAGCGGGACACCCCGGTGCCGCTCACCTGGTCACCTGCTTGTGGAAGTCGGTGAGCTGTTTGTGTGTCACCTGGATGGCTCCGCCCGTGGTTTCCTTTGGCAGCCCCTTCAGCGAGTTCTCCAGCCAGCGGCAGAATGTCTGTGCCAGGGAAAGGGAGGAATCGCAATGTGGAGCCCGGCTTGGCTCCCGGGCCCTGCCTCGGCAGAGCTTCGGGTCCCACGGGTCCCTCCTGTCCCCCGGGGTCCCTCCTGTCCCCTGGGGGTCCCTCCTGTCCCTCTGGGGTCCCTCCTGCCCTCTGGGGTTCCATCCTGTCCTCTGGGGTCCCTCCTGTCCCCTGGGGGTCCCTCCTGTCCCTCTGAGGGTCCCTCCTGTCCCTTGGGGGTCCCTCCTGTCCCCGTGGGGGTCCCTCCTGTCCCTCTGAGGGTCCCTCCTGTCCCTCTGAGGGTCCCTCCTGTCCCTCTGGGGTCCCTCCTGTCCCTCTGGGGTTCCTCCTGTCCCTCTGGGGGTCCCTCCTGTCCCTCTGAGGGTCCCTCCTGTCCCTCTGGGGTCCCTCCTGTCCCCCAGGGTCCCTCCTGTCCCTCTGGGGTCCCTCCTGTCCCTCTGGGGGTCCCTCCTGTCCCTCTGGGGGTCCCTCCTGTCCCCCGGGGTCCCTCCTGTCCCCCGGGGTC